CCTGTTCATTCTCTACGCACGATTTTTTTGTAATCTCAATGTGTAATTTCAATTCAATAATTAAGAATTTGCAAAAATAAATTAACTTCGCTTCCTGCTGCAGAAAAATTCTTGAAATGCGCTTAAAGAAACGGCAAAGAGAAATAAAAATCAAAGTATACTAATTAAAAATCTAATCAATGACTCAAACAATACGCATTAAACAGACACAAACTGCAGCCAATTCGGCAAAGAAACCATTAAAAGAGAAATACATGTTACATTAAAAAACAAATCCGTTTAGAATTAATAAACTTCGATGGCGCCCATAAAATGGCCTTAAGTCAGAAAGTATTGCACAGAAGAATGCTAAAAATTAAAATATATATTCCACGTAAATAAAAAATCCCTTCGCACGCCAGTTGTTCTCACTGCTGCTCCCCATCCTTTTGCAATTCTTGCTAAAGAGAAAGCAATGTTCCGATTCCAAGTGGAAATAAAAAAGGCAAAATTAATAAATACAATGAAACAAATTACGGAGGGAAAAAACATATGAATTATATGTAAGAGAATATTAACATAGTTAATTATTTTCCTTTTTAACGTTCCTGTAACAGATGAGAAAATATTTAATTTAATACGAAAGCACTTAGAGCCTTCAAAGAAAAGTAATTAATATTTGGCATATTTAAAGTTAAAACAACGGGGATGATTCAAAAGAAGAATAGAATGTTGGAATCTACCGCAAAGGAAGAGCACAGGAAACAATTACGCTTTTACACATAGCATTTAAAAAAGCAAAAAAGAAAGAACGAACGAAAAAGAGAGAGTGAGAGAGAAATTTCATACCGGAATTTGTAAGAGATTCGGTTTCAAAAAAGAAATATTTTATTCTACTGAAAGGCTTTAAAATTAGACGATAGAAAAGATGTAACTTAATGCAATCTACAGCGAAAAAAAAAAAAAAAATTAAATGTTATCCTCAAAATACGTATTAAGTAATTAAGCAGTAAGAAGCTCAGTACATTATGTTTTTAAAATCTTTTTAAACTTACAGTGAGAGAGGGTAAAGACAGAGAGTAACTGCCAATATTTTTCATACGACAATCTTAAAATCTTAAAATCACTTTTAATGCGGACACCTGTGGTAATAGGCCATACAAAGAAGTCATGCGGACACCACACGACTTCTTTGTATGGCTTATTAAATTATACACAATTTTTGCCTGCATTTCATTTAAATGTATTTCCTCGAGTCTATTTCAATTAATTGAGTTCTCACTTCGCCGCAAAGCAAAAATACAAGAAAACTCAAAACAGCTTCATTAAAAATTATAAAATACAGAAACACGTAAAATACCAAATACGGTTGAAACAGTTTAAAAAACAATATTTACGATTAAAATTAGAGTTTCTAGCAATTCGTTTTGCTTACCTCGCCACTTAAACTTTTAAATTGTTGATAATTCTACGCAAAATTTGATGGTTCTATGTATCGTTATTTTTTCACAATGCGAGCAAACATACATACACTCATGAAGATTCCTCGTTATTTAATTTCTTTATATATAATGCAGGGTTCTAATTAATATTTGGTGGCAACAATTTGAAAAGTGGAGCCCCGTTTTACAGTGGACGATGCAAAATGCCAAAACGAAATTAATAGCCCTTCTGGGCAAATTGAAAATATAGGCTAATAAACAGTAAACATCAAAATTATCTTGTGATGTGTGAATGTTCTTTGGAAAGAACAATAAAACGTGCACCAATTTACTTCTCACCAAGTATTGAAACAAAAACTGACCACGAAAAGTATTTGCAAGTTGGTTGAAAGACAAAAAAAGAATGTTTTGAGTGGTTTAGTAAGTGAAATATTCCCGATTTTTTAACATAATATAAATAACCTTCCACCATACAATTAAAAGCAGTTAATTAGAAAAGCTTGGTTGTTTAGCTTACAGATTCAGATATTATGTAATTGATAGCAAATATTGATATTTTATGTTAATTTCGTAAAGTTATTCACAACTGCTGTCATTTGTCAGTTTTACAGAGGATGTTTAGATACTTCCACAGAACGATTTCGAAGCCGTTTAATTCCTTTTTAAAATGTAAAGAGTATTTTTTTAAATGTTTGATCTTATAGCCTTTTTTATTGACTATAAGTCTGCATTGTGATTTACATGATAGAAGGACTTTTCGTCAAATTTCCATGGGTTTTCTATTGCTCTTTTACTACTTTCCACAGTCGATCCTTCCAATAAAGCTTATGTAACAACTTTTCACGGTCCATCAGTCATGGTGGGTCTGCGATTAGAAAGAGCTCTTTTCAAGAGATGAATGGCACAGTAGTCCATAAGTGAAACGCTAGGGTTTTCTCAGGAATACGTTGAAAAGTTAACTATGCAATACCTGTATCAGTCTTCATTGTTTTTGAGAAATGCAATGGTACTTCTAGAAATATGACTTGTTGCTTTCTCTTGATGAAGTTTCACTCCCTAAAAGTCATTAAGATAAAGAAATGGAATTTTTTCTGTAAATATCGGACATAGAACTTTCTCTTGCTAGAGCGTTGAGGTGATATTAACTTCTCCCTCTCTCTTCTTATTATTAATTTCTAACTCTACTACGACAATCATAAATCCCTTACCGAAACTTTCTTGCATAGACGGAAATACGGTTGTACATTTTGTTCTCTTCGTTTTCGATGATATATAGACCTTTTTTTTTTTTTATTGCAGTTCTTTAGGTAAACCAAACCCATGCTTTAGCAAGTGTATTCCATTTATCTCCTGTTAAATAGCTTTCATACAGAGTTCTACAAATTATTCTGAGCTACATGCCTCGGCAAAAGCTAGTGAACTTTAGCAAAAGCTAGTGTTTTAAATTTTTTAATTGTAAATATTGGTTTATTATTTTATTTATTGTTGCTACAGATATATTTAAACACTTTGAAAGTGATTATTTTCGTCAGTGGACTTTTTTCTTGTTATCAGATATTTAACTTTAGAAACATTAGAAACAGTACGTACCTTTTTCGGGCATTCGTTTGGAGCTTTCTTTAAATGTAGAAATAATTACTGACGGTTTTTCCCTTCCCGATTAACAATGGTGTTTACCACAAGCTTAGAAATTTTAATACCGTGCATTTCACAACGTTTTTGAATTATGGAATAGGAATACTTCTCTTCAGAAAGCGCAAAAACATATCCTTCGATCCAGAGCTCCTTTACGCGACATTTTGAAAGAAGAAGAAATTTAAAAGTAGCATATGATATTTCTGGTTTGAAATAATAAGCTGTTGCCATAAATTTTTATTCCAAAACATTTGCTCTTTTTTTATTTCTTTACTAAAATCATTCTAAAAAAGTGTAAACACCCTCCGTACACAGCATATGAGTGGGTTCAAAAACGATGGCTTCATCTTTTTAAACTTAAGGTAAGAAAGTTTATGAAATCAATCTTAAAACTGTTAATGAGAGGATTCTGTAAAAGTAAAACTTATACAAGAAATTTATGATCCATTTGTAAATCATTTATAGTTAGCGAATTACAACACAGTAATATGTACACAACACAGTATAAATGAATTTAAAATTCATTTATAGTTAGTGAATTACTACAGGGCTATTTATACAGTAATTACAAATTTTATTAAGGAGAATTTTTAAAAAGTTAGATACGCTCAATGGCATAAAAATTTTTAAAGAAATATGAAGATTTTATTAAGGAGAATTTTTAAAAAGTTAGATACTCTCAATGGCATAAAAAATTTTAAAGAAATATGAAGATATAAATTTTAAGCAGAATGAAATAATTATTTCATTAAATATCATTTTTTCAAAAAAAAAAAAAAAAAAAAAACTGTGAAAGGGAAATTTTAAACTCTTACATCCAAAAAAGTGTTTACGAAGTGAAAAGACAATCCCTAAACTGAAATCGATTTTCCAATTTCGGTTTCTTAATATTGAAACTATGTAAATCAGCCAAAATTAGGATGAGTCTTTCTGCAAATACTTCAGCCATGTGCGTGCGAGGGGATAGAAATTGAAATACTTTTTTCAAGCTCATGCGATACAACATCCGAAGAGAAAAATATTACTTATTTGGAACGTTAATTAATCATTACATTATCCAGACGATTAAACTAGATAAATAATTATTTATCCATTAATTATATGGATGGACTTCTTAATTGCTTATCTGGAACATTAATTTAAAAAAAGCATTACCAGTAATTTAGTTACAGGCATCATTTTCTGGGGATACTTTTGGGAACATCTGCCCACATCTTAAAATATTATAGCGTTCCTTGCAGATATATACACATCTTCCGAGATTTAAAACTTAAGAGGATTCTAAATAGGATTAGTCCCACCCATACATAGAAATGCTAAATAACCGGATTATTTTAGGGAAACAATACGAATAGGAAAAGTGTCGTCACTCTTCGTCGGTAAACACGATATAAAATTCAATCTCCTAAAGCCTAAACTGCCGATTATCCTCAAGACTAGTTATCTGAACTCGTTAAAACTTGTTTGGATAGATATTAGCGAAGGTTTCGAGAAAAGTATGCAAATAAGACACAGGTTTGGCTAGTAAAATTTTATAAAATATTCTGATCTCTCTTCCCCACCTATTCTACAATTTAAGTATTTAAGACGCTTAAAACTTTTCGCATTCACTATTCTTGCATCCATTTATCCTGTCTTCCCATTCTTTCTTACTGAAGATTTGTTTAGTTAATTTCGCCTTGTTCAGTCTTGAAGTTTTTAAAATCTGTTTTGTTAGCATATTAATGCTGATTATCGCCTGTAAGAACAAAATAATTTTGATTTCAATCAAAATCAAATTAATAATTATCCACTTTTTTTTTAATTCTGAAACATATAAAAAGTGTTATGCTTAATAGTGTTTACTATGGTTCATATTGTGGAACATGAACAGCTATATACGGGGATTATACATTCTTCGGTTCATTTTTTGTGAACAGTATCTGATACTTGGAATACTGGAAATCTGATACTTAGAAATAAATTTTTATTTAATCAGAATAATATACACGAAAAATGATTTTTCAAATGTGAAATTTCTTCTCCAAAACCTATCTTTGCCCCACTCCATTCGGAAAATCTACAGGTTACTATAGGATCTGTACATTACAGGCAAAGAATAATAAATGTGCTAGTTCGGAACTTCTAAAAATACCTGAAAAATAATAATAACAATAAACAAAAAATAAATAAAAAGCTGGAAACATTAACATTGCGCGCAAGAAAATCAGGTAATTATTTAACAATACTTAAATCAATAAGGGGGCAAGATTATACATATAAAAATTCCTTTGAGTCACGGAGACATAATATTGGAGAAGTTGGAGGTCGACTGCTATAAGTTGATTTCATCACCTGGCGTTGAATAAAATAGTTCGGTTACTTCAAAATAGTGTTACACCTTTAAATTAAGATTATAAATAAAACAAATTTTAAATTCGCACTGATAAATATCTACCTGTCAAACATGAAACAGCATAAAAGCTTCATAAAAATACAAAGAAAAGGATATTCAATAACAAAGTTGAAATTTCTAAGGTAACAATAATATACTCGTCCATGTGTATTTCGCCCATGTGGGGTTTAGTACAATGAATGAGAACATACTTTGTATTTTGACATTATTTATGTCGGTCACTATTATAACACCAAAATTGAATAACAGGTGCAACAATGATAATTTTTACACAAAAAATTATTCATTTTGCTGTCAAGGTCTTTCTTAGAAGTGACGTGAACTTAAGGAAAATCATGCAATAACCAAAGCAACCTTTCTCTTGAGTAAAGCAAATCTTTTTCTACCAGTATACTTCTATTCATTTTTAATCATATTAATGAGGTATTTTGGAAGTCTAGATATTTATGTGCAAGCAAACAGACAAACATGAACGGCGATTTCAAATGAAAAGGTTTAGTATAAAATAGAACAATTTGAATAAGGCAGTGAATATTTGGGATTATTTTGAGTTGTTTTAAGCAAAATAAAAATACAATATGAACATAAATATTATTCAGTCAGTCACTTTTATGTTAGCACAACTCTAATTTGCATTTCGTATGCATTTTACGTACAAAATTTTCACATCTCAAAGACAAATATCGCGATTACTAATATCAACTGAGTGTCCTATTTAAAGGAATAAATAATTTTCTTGCAGCAAACTTGTTCGGCAATGCAAAGTCGTGGATGTCGTGCTTTTTAAGCATGTTTTCTTACTAGATTACCTTTACTTAGTATCAAGAATGTATGCAAATGTTCACGGTATTTTTTCTAGGTCACGCATAGTTTGTATACTGACACGACTACCCTAATTTCGGATAATGCAGTTGGCAGACACCTTTAGTTCCATAGCCCTCATTATAAAAAAGAAGCATCGTATTAATACACAGATGGTAAAAAAAAAAATCTTTGATCAATTTGCAGTCTCATTATTTCCGGCATCAGGCGATTGAGCCCTCAAACACCACTAGATGTCGCTCGCTGTATGTCTACAAGGTCTCAAACAACCAAATACCAGGAAACTTTCGCTTTCCCCACAGCGGATAATTGTTAAGATCTCCTTTGAAACCTTAAAAGCTTTTCCCTATCTTGGGAAACGCTTAGCTGAGTGCTTAAAATTCTTGACAATACATGTTAAGGGGCAGGAGGGACTGGCTTTTATATTCTCGTTGCTATCCCCGCAACAAGGCGAAATGGAAGCGAGACGGAAAAAAGAACGAATAGCCCTTCAAAATTTTAACTAAATTTTCCAATGACTCACTACGATTGAGTCAATCAACATTTATCATTAGCGCTTTTAATTAACGTCATTAATAAGATTGATTACTGCATAATCGATGTCATTAATAGCACTGATTAAAAAATATTAACAATCCCAAAGTTTGAATAAGATCCCTCACTCTTTTGCATTAAATTAACATACTGGTAGCTTTACATACAATCGGGGGTCGACAGTAAAAGTTTACCAGTTTTCCTTCCGTGTTTTCCTCAAGGGCTACTTATCTGAATTTCCTGTAAACGTGGCTTGGAGATAAACCTTTGAATTATGTAGTGTGGTGTGGTCAGAGCTTAAACTGCGCCGGAGCCCATCCCAGACTAGCTCCGGTACTTCTTAGTTTTGGGGATAAATCATAATTCCAGACACAGCGCACCGGAGCCCTAAATAAGAAGGTTCCGGCACTTCTCCTGTGTAACTGAACAACAATTTCAGTAGAAATCTGATCTCAAAAATTTTATTTTTAGAAATAAAATTATATTTAAAATCGCTTATTAAATTTTAATTTATCTCCGTACATTTTATTTAATTTTAACAATTTATTTTAATTATTTAATTATTCTAATGAATAATAAGTGATTGAACAATAATTATTAATTAAATAACAATAAAAATACTTACTATTAAATATTAATTTAATAATTATTCAATAATCTGGTACCAATTAACTATTTAATTTTTTAATTATTAATGATTTTAATGCCCATTTTATTTATTTATTTACTCTTTCCCGATGGCCTTACTTAGGGCTCCGGCATTTCTAATTTTAGAAATTAAGCCCCGAAAGTGGTACATGTCTTCTTAAATTTTCTGATGTTAAACTGACTTCCTCTAATTTTTCCTTAACTTTTATTACGTATTGATTTCTTTTTCTGTTCGCTGTTTTAAAATTTATGGCGTAGAGATATTTGGTTCTTAACTAAAGGTACTACGAAATAAATAAACCTTCGTCTTTGCTGTGGTACATGCTAAGTACTTTAAAATGATCAACTCGTGGTAACGCTCTTGATGGATGTGCCAGCGGCAGCTAAGATTTCGTTAATTACTCCTGAACTCGTAGTTAATGGGTCTCCATATGACACGAATCTGCCATCTTGTTCAAATTTATATGGAATTAATGAATACAAACACGAGATGGATTACAGCCCTTTTGTACATACTATATACAGCAGAATCCTGTTCATCTAAACAAGGGGTTAACACATTTCGGATTTTCCCTTACCACCAAAAACCTAGGCCAAGCAAAACTGAAAAATGAGAAGAAAGGAAAGAATATTCAAACATCCCTAACAAACCCTAAGCTTTTGCTGTTGCACGAAACCTTTAAGATTTTTAGTTTATCTTTCACGCTCTCTTAACATAGAAGATTCGTAGAGTGTTGCCATTCAGAAATTAATAAGGTTTTTAATTTATTTGGTACTTAAGTATTAAAGCAATCACCTTGGCGATTTTTTACATATGAAAAAGAATAAGGAAATTAGTTATCATTCAATTCAATTGCGAAAATTTATTGCATACATATTTTCCAATCAGGTATTTATACCTAATCAGTAAATTTACTTACAAGCGAATTCTAGGACATTTATAGATCAATAAGCTACTTTCAAATCGGTTAAAAAGGACTGTTATGAGTATGGTTCCTTCTGAAAATTTAGTGGTTGTATTAGTACGTAAGTACAGAAGATTATTTAAATAGTGCCAAGAACTCTCTTTTAATGGACGGGGCGACAAGGTAACTCTTCGTTTGCAAACTGTCGCCAAACAGCCAACAGCTTACGGTTATATATTGTCGAACCGTTCCGAGAAAAACTCAGAATAGGTTTGCCGTTTGGGTGCAGTTCCTTAACAAGGAATCGCCGTTTAAATAACGGCGACCGTAAAAATACAGAAATGCCAACTTATTTAGAAATAAAGACTGTAATCTGAGTCTTTTTAATAAATTCGTCTAAGATTCAGTTCTCAACAAAAATTGCAAGTAACTATACAATCCCGCTAATTGATGAAAAGTACAGCTTGATGAATTTAAGTCTCCGTAGAATAGGTGCTTGCCTAACGTAATCTGTCTAATTGATGAATAAATGAGCTATGACTGCAATTTATGAAGCTTGAATTCAAATACAACAATAAAAAACGTATTTTAAAGACAAGCATTTGGGATTTCTGTCATTACAGGCCAGAGTTTTTTACCATACAATGAACTGATTAAAACATTAATCAAACATTGTCTGAGCATAGCACTACCTGTACATTAAAATTATCTAGACACCTGAAAATCACCTATTGGATAAAGACTCATTACTTCGCTGATCACTATTTTTGTGGACAATATGATGACCACACTTGTTTTCATCGCATAATAATGTGTTACTGCTAAAAAAAATGATACAAGAAAACGTGACTTTAAAAAAAGAAAAAAAAAAAAAAAAAAGAATGATTTCGGCGGTATTTTTATCCTTCATTTTTGGTTAGCTTAAACAAAAGTTTTACAGTATTTAATTTTGTTTTGATCTCCAAACACATTTTCTTTGCTCCAAACGAGGAAAGTTTGCTTTCGTGCTCTAATGATGATGTTTACGTAATCTGCAAATTATTCGTACGGATTTATTTGTAAAGTATTTATTTATTTTAAACTAGTTTTTTTATGTTTATTACTTTTCCTGTTTCCGTTTGTATTCCAGGACGTAAATTTTAGTTCGCGCATATTCAAATGAGGTAGAAAGAGATAGTACTATTTATAGGAAGGTTTCAGATTGCTTGGACAAAGTGTGTTCCACTGTTACGAAATGCCCAGCTGCGGTAAGATAGCTAACCCGCAAAGTGGGGTTAGGGTTGCCAGAAAGTGGGAAAGAAAGACGAGGTTGCCAGATTTGGCCTGAAATTTCCTAATTTGGCGATAAAACTGGCGATATGCCATAGACGGAGCGAGAACATTCTAGAACAAATTTTTACCGGTTTTCCCGACAATGTCTCGAGGGGAGGTCAAATGCTATATATACTCTGCATGTACGCGGAGTAATTTGAGTATGCTGAGTTCAGTAGTAGTGTCTTAAGTTCAGAGATTAGCTCGAGAGGATCGACTGTGTCGGGAGCTGTACTTTAAAGCTTTGCCGTGAAGCTGTCTTCACCATTATAACCTGAAAGCTATGCTGCTGATTGTTTCAGCGCGCTTATCGTAGTTTTTTGACGACTATAACGCGTCTTTGGAACTGTGCTGTGTAATACTAGCGAATAAATTGTGTTTCGATTCTTCCTCAAGTGTTGTCATCAATCACTCTAAATAAACGAACCCACAGAACGCAACCACCAGGTTACTAGTTGAAATTCTACGATAGTACGCTGTCTTCGGCCTACTTTACTTTTGCCACGCCGGTTATAGGTCTGAGCTATACCGGTTTACTACTCTAGTTCTACTCTTGCGACACCGGTATAGGCTTGAGCCAAATTGCGCATTAATCAATTCTATGTAGCCTTTGGCTAACTTATGACGACTTACCTTAGTTTTAATTTGAAATTCCTTCTTTTTGAGTAACGTCATAAATGCTGGCTAGTTTTGTAAGCATAAGGAGTGCCTTCCATTCAATTATCTGAGTTCTTAATAAAACAGTCTTTTACACCTTTCTTGCGTCCTCTGTTTGATTAACAAGGTACAGCGATAATTTGCTTAGTTTTTTTACTTGGTGCATGCTTCCCAAAGAAGTGAGACTATATGTTATAAATTATTCCTCTTGCATTAATAATATTCTTCTTCGTTAACCTTAAAATATATTTTTTATCTACAACATTCAAGCAAACACAAAATTCTAACGCAATACGTTCTTCTTAATAATATACTTGGTTAATATTTTCTTGCACTAAACCGTTAGTCTAGGAAAATCCAGTGCAAAATCACATCACAACATCTTTCCCCATCTAAAAAAAAGGACGTCATGCCGCGTTGACGTACGTTAACGAAAAGGACATGCGGATATAACGAGGACACAGCTCTGCGTATATTAACGTCATTTTTCCTCCAACAAATTACGCCATAACTAGGAAAAGTCTTTCCGATGGAAGACGCAACATCAAAACGTCAACGGAATATTCCTTTAATGAAAGTTTGTGGAGTTCGGCCACAACCAATTCAATAACGATCGAATGCTTCCTTGTTCTCAACAGGAAGCGATGAGATACAAGAATGACGCGACCTTGTAACCTTCCAAAGAGCTGATAGCTTTTAGGGAAAGTGCACTTTAATTGATGCAAACCTGGAATTAAAAATTACAGAAAATCTTGACAGGCCTCTTTTTTTTTTTTTTTTTTTTTTTTTTTTTAGTTCGTAGATCTTGGTAAATGCTGCACTTGTATGACGAGAATGCAAAAAATGTTTTTACGCTGCTGCATCTAGACAGAGTGTGATTTCGGATATTACGCGGGAGTTGTCTAAAATTAAATAACAACGCGAACATGATGTAACTCGTCTACCCTCCCCCCCAAAAAAAAGTCTCTTTAAAAGCGCTGGAATCTCCAAACGCACCGCACAGACTGAAATCTGGCAACTTAACGAATGTGTACGGCGTCAAACAAATTATCCATTACAAATGTTTAATTTTACTGAAATACTGTAAATTAATGTATTTTTTATTTAAACATTTACATCCCATTCAAGGTAGCTAAAAGATATGGCGCAACTGTAATCCGCATACACATAAGACCATATATATTCTCTATATTTGGCGCTTTGCATTTATTTGTTGTAGTACATAACAGTATGTTGACTAAAATGCATAAAAATGGATTTCGGAGTCACTACTAAATCCATATACATAAATCAGTAATATCGTTTATAAATATTAGATATATTTCTTTTAGGAATGAATAACTGTCAATATAACGGAAATGGCTTTATAACGCAGATTGTATTCTTGTCCCACTCAAAAAAAAAAAAAAAAAAAAAAAAAAAAAAAAAGAAGAGAAAAGAAGAAAAGAAAACATGAAGTGTTAGATATTTAATATGGTTTTATCCGTAGATATCAATAGAGATGGCTCAGGCAGAATAGCGAAACATTTTATACGATACTAAATGAATATACTGTTACGTTCGTTTGGGTACAATAAAAGATTGAACGTACACCAAAATCGACGATAGCTTGATAAATTTTCTTTTCACAAAATAAACATTTCATAGTTCTGGAATGTTTTACAAGAGTAATCGTACAGGTCTTCTCAGTAGTTAAACTTCAAACTACTAAGAACGTTAAACACAAAACAATGCAAAGCACCTCTAAAAAATTGAAGCTCGCACAGACATCTCTCACTATTCCGAATTCACCTCTGAACTAAGAACTGAGTAGCTGACATTCTCCCCCGTCTTACATAGTTTTCAACTGACCGCTGAGAAATTTCCAGTATCTTCTGATTTTTCGAAACAGCTGGAAGGCATATAGAGTTGCATATACAACCGGATACAGTTAGTTATAGATAGAAATCGCATCAATTAGAGTTAGTTATACAGGGATGGCACTGAAATGTTGCAAAAATAGTCGACAAATTTGGCGACTTTGGGCGATTTCTCATAAATTCGGGGATAAAAATTAGTCGCCAAAACTATTGCCATTTTGGCGATATCTCGCCAAATTAGCAAGATAGTCATTTATCTCAATGTTAAATGGACTTGGATCTGTAACCTTATTGTTCCGGCGAAGCTTCGCATTTTTGAGGCCTTTCATATTACATTGTACAAGAGATACACATAATTTTCACATAATTTCACTAAAATTATTTACATGTACACAAAATTCGTAACAATACAATTAGACAATCATGGGAACGTTACATGTCATCTGCATATTACCAAAATATATATATATATATATAACACAATTCTATTGAAATATTTGTTGTTTTTAATTAGATATATCCTGAATTAAGTGGGTTGTTATTTAAATCAATCCAAATAAGATGTTAAAAATCAGAATATTCTTAAGAAATGCATCTACTGCTTTTAAATAGTTTAGTTTATTAATCAATAATATGCAGATCAATTCTGAAAGATAAATATTTGACATTGTTCTGAATTTCAATAGACTCGAATGAAAAGTGCACATTTACAATGGACAACATTTAAAGTAAATGAACGCAGAATCGTGGTAGCCCAAAGCTCTAGACTCGAAACACGATTTTGCGTTGTTTCACTTTTTATTCGAGTCTGCTGTCATTCAAAAAAACATAAGATATTATTCTTTCATATTTTAATGACTGTTATTAATTCATAAATAAACTAATTAAAAGCAATAGATGAGGTTCTTCAGAATATTTTTTTTTTTTACTTTTTCAATGATTGACTTAATTAAAAATGCATTTTATTTATGACGTAACTAATTAAAAATATTAGGGCCCACCAGCGGCCGAGCGGTAAAGTCGCTGAACACTGGTAGTTCGGTCCGAGGTTCGAATCCCGCGAACGGGCTGGCTGCATGGGCGTTTTCGTGGTTTTCCCCATGTGTGACGTGTATACTAGCCAGTTTCCCTTAGAAAGTCCTCCACGAAGGCATCCCTCCTCTTAGGCAGATAGCCCTCGAGGCTTTGCCATCATCACACACACTACACCACACCACACCAATTAAAAATATTAAATATTTTTCAGAATTGCAATACATATTTTTCACTTATTTAAAATTGCAGAAGATATAAAACGTTCCCATATTAGTTTAAATACATAGTCGTCTTATACCCTATTAAATATTCCGCTAATCCACCCTATACCACTAGGGCTATTTCTATGAATATTGATAAATCATATTAAACTTTAAAAGAATTCTTTTGGTTTACCTTTAAAATTTAAATCCTTTCAGGTTTTATTAACATTATTATCACTATTACTTTACTTGCAGTTTAAAAGTTTAAAAGAAAAGTGAAATGTGATATTAATGCTTGATTGATTGATTGTAGTTTCTGGCACAAAACCTTATGAGGTTATTTGCGCCAAACAAAGAGCAAAAACAGTGAGTACAAAGTTTGTTAAAAGTTTCATATGAATAATTTCTTTATATTTTAGACGAGGAAAAACAGAATAAAATAATATAATAAAACTTATAATAAAAGTCAATATCTTTTACAAACTGGAATAACTTGCGATGATGGTTTTTCATTATTAAGTTTTTAAACCTTATTTTAAGCATTTAAAACGTTTTTGGCGAAGATAACTAAAACTACGACATTCTAATAAAACAATATGGCGGACTGTCAGATCTTCATTATAGTTTGTTCTTCTCGCCTTTCAGTAGATATCCGTCAGTCAACAATGACCTGTTCTCAATTGGGTTAAGATAACTTGCTGCCTTCTGCCGTAGATGACCAACATTCAACTGTGGGTTTAGCATTTCTCAGCAATGGCGTAGCTGGTGATGTCCACTAGGGTGGGACAAGGTGGAATATCTGTCCCCGTCATGGAGGTAAAAAATGACTTACTTCCTACCTCCATGGTCCCCGTCCGCAGTATCCTGAGCGCGCCAAACTGATATTACAAAATTAAGAATCAAAGGTTTTCCATTGTTGGTCCATAGAAAGGGGCTCAAAATCTCCATTTGTCCCTCGGCGCTGAAAACCCTAGTTACGGCTCTGTATCTCAGCTTGTTGTTTGTTTGGTCATCCCAATGCCTCTGTTATTTATTACAAATTTTACGTTTGATCATCGTTCAGATATCTGCGACTGGAATCTGGGAATTAGATACTGTAGTAGAAGTTTTAGCTGTAATGACCGCTAGTTACTTCACTTTTATGCCATCGTGGCCAGGAACCCAGGAGTAAAGAATCCGATATCCTCGATATTTTAGAGTCTGATTAAACTTCAGAATTCTGGTAATAATGGTATGTTAATTATATCCCCCCTCAATGGCGGGCACTACTTGCCTGTAACGGCATTGCTCACTACTAAAGTGTGGTAGCCATTTTATTGTGGAGGCACCAAATAGGCGGGCACCGTTACCTCCATGCCTTCTCCGAGATGCATAATGGCAAACCGCACATTGAGTTGATGAATGTTAACGAATTTCCCTTAGTGCGCATGCTCAGTGGCGTACCATTGGCGTGAGAGGAAATAAATACTGGCGAGCTAAGCATAAGCAACCCTGCATAAGTTTGTTCGTCGTGTAGATCTTATCGACTGTTTACAATACTATGGAAATTTGTTTCTGTTTATTGCATTTGCTTCTGTTTCATTTCAGTTTGGTTTATTTTGTGTATAAACATTACATTTAATATCAGTTATTTATAATAATTTCTTTGACTTTAATTGAGTAATTTAAACTGAATTTATTTCTTAATTTGTTACCGTTACCTCCATGCCTTCTCCGAGATGCATAATGGCAAACCGCACATTGAGTTGATGAATGTTAACGAATTTCCCTTAGTGCGCATGCTCAGTGGCGTACCATTGGCGTGAGAGGAAATAAATACTGGCGAGCTAAGCATAAGCAACCCTGCATAAGTTTGTTCGTCGTGTAGATCTTATCGACTGTTTACAATACTATGGAAATTTGTTTCTGTTTATTGCATTTGCTTCTGTTTCATTTCAGTTTGGTTTATTTTGTGTATAAACATTACATTTAATATCAGTTATTTATAATAATTTCTTTGACTTTAATTGAGTAATTTAAACTGAATTTATTTCTTAATTTGTTACCGTTACCTCCATGCCTTCTCCGAGATGCATAATGGCAAACCGCACATTGAGTTGATGAATGTTAACGAATTTCCCTTAGTGCGCATGCTCAGTGGCGTACCATTGGCGTGAGAGGAAATAAATACTGGCGAGCTAAGCATAAGCAACCCTGCATAAGTTTGTTCGTCGTGTAGATCTTATCGACTGTTTACAATACTATGGAAATTTGTTTCTGTTTATTGCATTTGCTTCTGTTTCATTTCAGTTTGGTTTATTTTGTGTATAAACATTACATTTAATATCAGTTATTTATAATAATTTCTTTGACTTTAATTCAGTAATTTAAACTGAATTTATTTCTTAATTTGTTAAAATATATACGAATGAAACGTATGGCAAATACTCGATCGCTTTTATTCCTCAGAAGTTTAATCAATAAATATTCAGCTAATATATTTTGCAAAGTTTCCCATTTTGTAATCCTTCTTAAACAAAAATTTGCTAATTTACAATCGGTATTTACACTCTAAGTAATGAAACAACTTACAAACTAACAAGTTTTAAAAACCCAAACTGTTCGCCCAGATAACAGAAAATCAACAATATACCATAGTCTTTTAAAATTGCGCCAAATTCACCTCTGGGCATACACAGAGCGCGAAATTCGTTTAACATTGATCAAGTAAATGTGCAGTTTGCCATTACGCCTCCGGGATTGGATCCCGGGCCCGTTGGAATCGCAATCAGGCTCCTCTAGCCACTATACCGTCTGAACGGCTGTGAATTATACTTGAGCTCTTTGAATGATGTTAGGTCACTCAAGGAATCTGTACAGATAATGATATTCCTGTAACGCTGTTTTGACAGAAACTAAAGCTTGATAAACTGCAGCAAGTTCAGAGGTAAAAACGTAGCAAGCCAAGTGTAATCAAAACCCCAGAATCGTTTTTTCTGGTATAAAGGCTGCACCAACGTGATTGCTTTTAATGCCTTTTTAAAATTAATGTAGAGTTAAATTTAAGTTACACATTAACTGCGAGTTATAATTTAACTGGCATAATGTATACTTAAAATTATGGTCCAGTTTTAAATTTTATTAAAAATTCATTTTTGATGCATTCTGTCTTAATCACAGACATAGACAACGATCGGTTTTCAGAAAAATAGTGCTAATGTACTAATTAATTACATTCAGTTAGAAGACTGCAATAAATATAACTACCGTTCGAGCTCTAATCCTAGCGCTATGAAATTCTCCAGACAACACTTCTAAACGGATAAATAAATAAATAAATAA